AGTTCCTCAACTGCCTGAAGCCTGGCTTCAATCCACCAGAGAAGAGTAAGCTTAAAGTGATAGCCTGTGTACTTTGACATAGTTTAACAAAGAGTTACACACCAGTAGATATAGTTTATGGATTGACATAAGCTCACTTAGGCAGTCCTGACAATTGGCAAACTGCCTCAAATGGCTTGTTTTTTTTAGCTACGGTTCTCATTTCACAACTTTCAAGGTTGTCAGATCGCTGTGCTGTTCACACATCACAACATGTTCTTTTGCAGTCTGGAGTCTTGAAGTCTTGATTTCAGTCTGCTCAGTCATGTGATGCAGCCTTATGTGGGATAAAGTTCACAGGAAGCAGAGGCTCTGTCAGAGAAATAACATTCTGGATGGAGCACTGAACCCTGGAGCTTCACCAAACTCAAGGACACGCACACAGATACACACACAGACACACACAGACACACACAGACACACTCAAACACACATTGCTGACTACTGATTAGTAAGCAAAAACATGCCGAAGGCCTACAACTTTCAAATGAAACTACTGGATGAATGGATGATGTGGCATTTTAAAATGCTGACAAGTCTTGGTCATGCAAATTGATTAAAGTGAAATGCTGTTTCTATTATCACTTTGCTGCAGTCTACTATCTGCAGTTTTAGCTGATAAGTTTGCCATGCGTCTTTCTGCAGAATGTGCCTTGGAGGATGAGACATATGAGGACGGAGCAGAGACCCAGGTCGAGTGTAACCGATGTGTTTGTGCATGCGGCAACTGGGTTTGCACTGCTATGACCTGCACTGGTGAGTTCAAACACTGGGCATGATCTTTATGCTATTTATTCTTTTGGTCATTTTAATCACACACAAACACATTGAAATAAAAAGCCTTGTGGCCATTGTTGACTATTTTGTTATCTGTGCAGACAAAACGGCAGCTGTGGATGAGTCTTTGGATGCTGGGGCGGAGATGACTGAGGAGGAGTGGAACCTCCGTGTGGCCGAGCTCAACAAGCACCAGGTCTGTCTTTGTTATCTGAAAACCCCTGTCAACAAGAAAAAGTATGTAATGTGCTCATCGTGTATATGGCACGTAAATTATAAGTCCGAAAAAAGCACCTGGCCAAAGTCAAAACTTGCAATGTGTATTTTCAAAGCGCCATCACTGTCCTCTGCTCATAGGAATACACGTATTGTAAGGTCAATGTAATATCCCTGACATTGAGCCATAACCCAAGTGACTTATTTTATATTCCTTCAGGACATAACCTTCATTACTTGCAATGTGTTCCAGGGCAAAGAGCATTTGAATCAAACTGCTCAGCCAGCAAAAAACAATTCACATAAGAATTGTGACTGTACCAACCTTACACAGTTCAGTGAACCAGGGTATCAGCAATTTTATTAATATTGGCTTTTAAAGAGCAGCAATAAATGAAAAAGCTGGGAAATAAAGAGATTTTTTCTAAATAAGGTCGATGAAACTGAATTTGCCATGGATATGAAATACAGGGAATACGGCAGAAAGAAAAGGATCATCAACCTTTTCTTTTATTATATAGATTGTAAAGTGTAAGGCATGTCCTAAACTAAGGTTTTGTGTGAATGATTCACAATCATAAACATAGCTGGGTATTTTTAAAAGTGAATTATACTTTGAAGGAATTAGTGAAACCAGACTTAGAAATGTAAAAATACAAAGCCGTGCCATAGAAAATCCAACGACACAATGCCACACAGAAGTAAGAATCGTAAAATAAAATAATTGTGGATTAAGTAATACTGAAAGATGTATAAAACTAAGTTTGATCAAAATAGCAGCATTAACATGATGTGATATGTTAACTACTTTTGTCAGAAGTCAGTCAACATGTCAACTGTTAATTGTCCACTCATAGTCCTTAATAGATAAATGTTTTATTAGTGTCACTGTTATCGTGTAAATATAATGTATATTTTTCACAGCCCTAACGCCAAATCCACCCTCCTGCTTTAATTGGAGTCTTGTTGAAGTGCTCTCTAAACCACATAGCCTATTATAATGGTAGAACACTTGACGATTAAAAAAGGACTGGGTATCACTTAGAACATAAAGGAATAATGCTGCCAATGTTAAGGAAACAAACAGTGGTCTAAAAATAAGTGCTGGAACCTCCTGGACAACACATAAAGACGTGCTGCCTCTACAACCGCTCTAGACCAGGAATTCTAATCTAGAACCTCTGTAGCCTAGGAATGAAGTTCTAGAACCAAGTTCTGAAAATCTTTCTGGAACCTCTACAGTCAAAATGTTTTGATGGCATTTCTGCTCTTGTGTATGTGCTTGCTTATTTATGTAGAACTAGGGCTCTGGCTTGAGTCCATGGCTGAGTCAGCAAGGTCATGTACACTCTACTCCAGAAGGGCAGCTTATGAGGCTTTTGTAAACAAAACTGGCTGAGTAGGTGCGAGTTTGAGGTGACCAGCTGAACTCGGTCATAAGGACATTGCTACATATCAATGTTGCTTTTCATGAATAAAGCATTACATTTGATTTTTTTTTTCAAAGACTTTACAAACATTTCCTTACATCATTATAAATCCAGTGTGTTAAATAAATTGTACACTATATCTCACTTTTTTTGTCCAATCCTTTTCATTGTTTTGGAAACAGGAAACTGTTGAGAAGATGAAGTCCAGCAGCACAAAGGAGGCCTAAATAAGGAAACAACGAAGGAGAGGATTCACGTCATCACCCTTTCTCCATACTTGATTTATTCAGCGAACATGTGTTATTATACTGACTTTTCCATGTTTCTTGCTCTGTTAATTATTATACATTTTTTACGATGTTAAGTGTTTGAGTTGATGTTTTCAAGGGCAATCATAGAGTATTATAGGATTCCCCTGTGTTCAGTACTGTCATATTTGATTGTATTATTGCCTCTACACTAGCGCTGGGGCTATTTTTTACTACAATCCTTATATTTTTACAGTTATTATGAAGAAAAAAAACATGTCAAGTTTTCACTGTTTGGGAGTCGTTGTTTGAGAAAGCAGTGTTGAAAGGATCTAGGAGTTAATCTGTTGAAATGCGGGAGCTGTTGGAGATCTGACTACTTGCAGAATTGTTCTCCCCTCCCTCGCAGGTTTTACGATCAGCATCTTGGTTCAGGAAGATGGGACAAGAGGGTAAAGCTACTAGTGATTTGGATTTTGTTGCCATATAGAACAGCCACTACTTGACCAATGCACTTCTCTTTCTTTCCTTTCTAGCTTTCTTATGCTTTAGTTTAGATAGACATAAGTCTATGTACGATGTTTTATCAGCTTGACTTGGAACTGTTGTTCCCATGCAAGTCTCTCTGGTGCTTTTTGGTTAAACATTTCTGTCTGTGTCTTGAGAGACAAAGACGTAGTGGTCCAGCTGTCACTGTGGAGCAACTGCACCAAGGTGAGACCTGATCTTTGAATATAGCATGATGAAAAGTAAAACCAAAGTTTTGATGAAATATTTGAATAATGTAAAAAAATCTCCAGGTAAAACATTACTCTGGACCCAGCAACAACACTATACCTGTGCTTTCAAAATCACTAACAGAAGGACTAGCCTCAGCTATAGTAGCGTAGACGCATCAATAACCGGGTGAATATGAATTGTGTGTGTGTGTGTGTGTGTGGGTGGTTGTGTGTGTGTGCTAATGAAGTGTGATGCTGAGAGTAGTTTGGTTTGTAAAATGTGTATTTGTTAAAATCCTGTATCTAAATTGGAAGGATTGACAATAAAACCAGTGCCTTAGACCAGCAAAAAGTATGGTTTCTCCCTTTGCCTGCACATAGGTGTTCCTGAGTGTGCTTTGCTGAAGTTTAGCAGTTAAATAGTGCTTTGTGACTTCATCCTTGATAAATGTCTGTGTGAAAGTTGCATTACTAGGTTCAAGCTAAATCTTTATATTCCACTAAGGGTGCAGAGACTGTAAGGAGTATATGCCAATAAAGCCCAATACACCATAGCATGGCTTTGTCACTTTGTATGTGTGTGTGCTTTTACCAAATTACAATTTCAAAATACTGAAGTGAAAGAGGAAGTTCCCCTTCATCCTGTTATTCCTTACTAACAAATACACAAGGAACCCATTACTTCCCTTGTAGACTCTCATTTGACTGCCTGAGTATTTTAAAATCCAAAATGTTTGTTATTACCTATCAACCAGACAGTTTCTCTCACAAATATATTTTCCAAAACTGATCAAGACTTAGTTATTTTTCCCTTGCTTTTCTTAATAGCCATTTTCTCTGTCATTTATTGCTCTTGTCTTTGGTCATGTTCTGGGAAGCACTTGCATATAACTTTACATTCATACTCTTATTATAGTACATTGTAAAGGTAATATGAGGGCCAATTGCACTTTTAGGCTTAAACAGCCCTGTATTTTAGCTGGTCCATGTGAAACCATTTCCACATTTGGACGTTTGAACATCTTGTGCATTTGATCTTATCATTTATATTTTGATTCTAAATTTGTGTTAACTAACTACAGCAGCCATTAGCAGTTTCTCAAAACTGTACACAACTTGAATGTGCCCTAATTCTCATCATATAATAAGCTATAAAATGAACGGCAGTGACAGGTATGTGGATAAATCTGAATACAGTGCGAGCAACCCGATTATTCTGTAGGCTACCATATTCACATTCTATGCACACCATAGCATGCACACCCAAGTCAGCGTGAGTAGCCTATTGCATAATGCAATAAAAGAGGGGTGTTGCATAATGGCAGACAAGCCTGGACAGTTGGCATGATGGATCATCGGCCATCAATCTTCTGTTGCAACTAGACTGAGAAAATTAAGCAATTACACACAGCAACCTGGTGTTGTACGGCTATAAAAATATCAATAAACGGTGTCCATATAAACCTGCTACAAATCTCTTGATTAGTACTTCTGATATATGACAGACTAGGAGATGAACCAATCAACGGGTGCGTGGGCGGGGTCAATGTCAAGCATTAGCCAATGTCTAAACATGGACGCAAATGATTCAGTCAAAGAACGGCTGCATTGTAGAAGAGCCACACAACATTCAATGTTGGATCATGTAGCTACAGTAGCGTGTCCTCAGTACAAAAGTAGTGACCTAGATTTCCCTCTTGTGATGTGGTTAGGTTTCTACGAGCGGCTGTGTAGAAATCTTCCCATTCTTGAGGTCCAAAACAGACAACAAGTCCTGGAGCTAACTCGCGGTTTACGGGAGCGTTCAGCCTAAAGCAACACTTTATGCAAGGAATTTGTTCTGAGTTTAAATTCACGCTAAAACTACCAAAATGGAGATTCGCGAAGGGGCAGCAGCAGCAGTAGGCGACAACGTGCTTGACTACTCCCGTTTGAGCCTGGACACTTTCTCCGTCGACAGTGTTAGCGACGAGAGGAAGAAGGACACAAAACAGCTCTACCTGAACTACAACCGGTTAGCCTCGCTGCCCTCGTCGGTCAGCCTTTTCTGCAACCTCGAGTTTTTGGACATCAGCAACAACGGGCTGTCGGCCATCTGTGAGGGGATAACACGGCTGCCCAGGCTGAGGCAGCTGATAGCCAAGAACAACCGACTGGACGAGTTCTCGCTGCCCAAAGAGTTCGGCTCTCTGCAGCTGGAAGTGTTGAACTTTAGTGGGAATAGATTCGAGGAGATACCACTTCAGTGTATGAAGCTGGTCCGTCTGCAGTCGCTTTCCCTCGGCGGAAACCGATTGAAAAGCATACCTTCAGAGATAGAAAACCTAACCAGGTAGGTCAAGAGGGTAGCTATATCAATATTCTATTTATATATCCCACAATATTCTATATCTAGGTCATACGAGGTAGCTTTACAGAAGTGGGCGGGATGTTGGACGTACAAGGCAACTTAGCCTACTTCCAAGTGTATTATTGTTTTTCGGCGAATATTATCGACTTCAGTGCTATGATCGTGTTCACATTAAGTACGGTTTAGGTTGATAGCTTCAGTATAATATGGAACCCAGCGATGTTGCTATGGTTACCTCACTTATAAATGAGTAACCAGTATAATAGTGTTCAAACTGTCGAGTTATCTAAACAAAAATGTTTTGCTTAATATTAGTATTTTAAGCAAAACGTGACAACTAGCTGTACATCTTAAATTATATATTAATAAATGTAATCAACAAATACTTAATATTTAACATGTTGATAATTTGTTTTATTTAACTTTATAAATTAAGTGATTCGAAGCCTCCCTTCTGGACTTTGTATTGCTAACTGTGTGCTGGACATTTGCATCTTTCACACATTTTTGACATGTAGTGGACCAAGTGAAATCGAACAACTGATTACATATTTAGCAGATTCATTGACAGTGAACATATTTGTACATTGTAAAAGTGTAGTTCAAGTAAAAACAAATAAATAGCATAGAAACAAAGTGCCTATATTAGTGCATACACTCAATGCCATTCCTCTAACCATATCAGCCTAACCAAACATGTGTCCTCACGTGTGGTATATTGCAACATTGTATGTCATGTGCTCTAACTGGAAAGCTTTAAACCACTTGTTATCAATAGTGTATTGCAGAATGTACCGAAAGCTGTAACAGGTGCTTCTGGGATCATTTCCTGTCACTATGTCTTGTAAACATCATGATTCATAGTATGTGCAGGATAGTTGTTTACTACTTGCTGTGCCAGTAACAACCCCCGGCTGTTTTTTTATTTTGGGAACGTTTGGAAAAAGTGTTATGGAATATTTGTGACAATCATTACTATATTTGTATTCAAAGCGATTATATCAAAAGGAAAACACAAACGGATTAAAGAAGGGGCCCCTCATCCTACATAGTAGGCCAAGTTTTCATTTTAACTGACAATTATTTAAAGAATATGCAAATTAGGGCATTTTAATCGCAATTACGATTTTGGCTTGCAACGATTATGAAAACAACATAATCGAAATAAAACGATTATTTATTTATTTTAATTTATTTAAAAAAATAAATAAATACATTCTGTTAAATTATGCTTAAAGTTCAGGGTAATCAACTGTTAAAAACATACTGTTCACATTTTTTTTTAATAAATGGACGCTTTCAAAGTAAATGGATAATCGTTTTTAATAATCGTGATATCAATTATTGACCCAAATAATCGAGATTATGATTTTTGCCATAATCGAGCAGCCCTAATGCAAAGTATGTGGAATAATATATAACACGTATAGAAATAAACAAACTAGCACTTAATTTCTCATTGTAATGCTTTTGGAAGATGTACAGTATGTGGAAGAAAAGGAGGTCAGTCCTGACTTTACTGTCTTATCATTTCCAGACTTTAACAGTAGCAAGTCACTGTGACCCATGAGTGACTGTGACCCATGAGTCACTGTGATCAAACATCCAAGTCTTGTTTTACTTTATCATATGCTTACACTTTGGTGTTGCACATTCAGTAAGAGGCCAACAATAAGAGCCACTTCATGTACTATAACTTGTAGTAACCCTTTCCTGTCAAACTTCCCATGGTTTCCTTTTACTAAAGGGAGACAATGCCTTAATAATGTTTTTGTCACAATTAGGCTTCAGTGATGTTTCAAAATACTTAATTTACTGTAAATACTCAAGCAGCTTAAAGCCAAATAAAGGTATTTTCTGGTGTATTGAGGACACCCACGTGCTTATTATTTTAATACATTTTTAGAATTTATTTTCACATATATTTTTTATTACAAAACACTCGCGCATATAATCAAAGCATGGATGAATACTATATTAATCAGAATCGGAATACCTTTATTAGTCCCACAGAGGGGAAATTTGCATCGTTACAGCAGGAAAGAGCCACAGACAGCTTAATGTTACATAAAAAAGTACTAAGTTATGATATAATAAAAAAAAGAAAAGTAAAAAAAAGACTTTTCAAAATACAAATCCTGTAACAGTTCTTAGGATTTAGCAGCCAGGTATAAATTACACAGTTATTAACGGCATATATATTTTGCACATATTGCACATAGTTGATTGGTATTTAGCAGCAAGGAGTGATATAGTCTGTGTTGTGGTGTGTGTAGGGGAGGGGAGGGGGGGGGGGGGGGGTCTACTAGGGGCTGTGCTGGTTGTATAGTCTGACCGCTGCAGGAAGGAAGGACCTGCGGTATCTCTCCATTGTCCAGCTTGTAATGTGTAACATCCACACGTCTTGATGAGTTTAAAGAAGAAACCTTGACCCAGTTATTCTTGGGTGGGGGGGACATGGCCCAGAGAAAAAAATCTTTGATTGAGTTTACGTGAGAAAGCTTTTTATATTGTCTCTGATTCACTGTTTTGCTAACCATTCTTAACCTCCATTTGTCACTGTGTTTGTGAGTCCATTAAGGAGACCCAAATGTCTCAGTTCCTAACACAGTGCTCCGCCACCAAGGACAGCGTAATGGCTTCCTGTCTCGTAGTCGCTGTGTCATCAGTTCCAGCAGGCAGATGGCCGGACAGCTTACTTTTGCTGACCAGCCATCCATTTCTCTCACCCCATCTCTCTGTTTCACTCCCAATTATCCCCCTGTGTACTCCATACTTCCATTAACCTACCGGCGTCCTTTTGTTGTCCTAATACAGGGGTGCCCAACCAGTCGATCGCGATCGAGCGGTCGATCGCGGGGAGATTCCCAGTCGATCGCGAGATGTGTCTAAAAATAGAACAACAACATTCTGTTGTATCGTTAATGTCCTGTAACATAATCTTCCTGTCCAGAATAATGCACTTGAACGCATCAAAGCTTTGTGATTGGCCGGCGAGACCCCATGTGTCGGGGCGTGACTGGTGGGCATTGGGCAGTATTTCGCTGACGTTGTCCGTGTCAACAGGAGTGACAGTCCGCACACACACAAGACCGCAATTATGGCAGAAGCAAAAAAGCCCAAAATATATAATTTTCACTCCGAGTGGGAGGATGATTATTTTTGTATCTATTCCAATTCAAAGTCCATCTGTCTCATCTGCAATGCGAGCGTGGCTTTATCAAAGAAGGGTAATTTAGGAGCGGCATTTCAAAACAGTGCACAAACGCTACGAGACGGAATTCCCTCCTAATTCTGCCCTACGCTCCAAAAGGGGAGGGGCCTGAGAGGACAGCTAAATGCACAGCAGTCCATTTTCACCAGGCCCAACAACAAGAGCAAGGCTGCTACCAGAGCATCTTATCGTGTCAGTCACGTTCTTGCGAAACACATGAAGTCTTTCAAAGACGGCGAAGTTGTGAAAGAAGCTTTCCTGGAGGCTGCCGATGCGCTTTTTGGGGGACAGTAAAAATAACAGGAGCATTTCAACAGGTTTTTGATATAATAAAAACTCAAGTTAGATACCGTTATTAATCAGCTGTAAGTTTTAGTTTGTTTGAACTTATTCATTATAATTATTGTACGAAATGGTATAAGAATGCAAACATTAAGATCTGTTCTGTTTAAATTGATTATAGTCTATTATCAATTCAGGTTAAGAAACTAGTGTTGCTTGCATCCTATTTTAAAGGCATTTATTTTTATACTCTACTAAAATTCAACAAAAAAAGGGTTTGATTCTATTAATTTTGTCTTTTTTATTGCACTTCGGCAGCAGATTCCTGTGTAGCTTCAGATCTGAGTTGTCTTATTAGTAAGCCTAATTTATACTTTTGTAGCAACACTATTTTTATATAATGGCAAATAAAGGGTTCAGAGTCTTTTCTTTTTTTCCTGTGTCATATGTGGCAGCACTGTTCAATGTTTCTTGAAAACATTACCCACTGTAGTGACGTGTGAATAAACTCCAACTCTGTATCAACAGCACTGTTGTGTAACTTCAGTTAAATACTTGTATGTGTGTAGATTAGAAAGAGGTAAGATAAAGGATCTGCAGTATTTCATGAAGTATTAATCGTACAAAGGTCAGTTTTATACAAGTAGAAGTGTGTATTTACCTGGTAGTAGGCTGTCAGTAACTACGCCTCTCTATTTGGCCTGGTCGATCTCGGCAGACTGGCAACTTTAAAAGTAGCTCTCGGTTCAAAAAAGGTTGGGCACCCCTGTCCTAATACAACACACATGTATGTTGTCCTAATACAACACACATGTACTAAACATGGAAGCAGTTTTTTCTTCTAGTCATCAAATATCAAACTAAGTTCGTCTTGGTTAGGAGCTTTAACAAAAATGTACATGTATTGCAAATGTTATATTTGCACACTCCTTTTCCTGAGTTGATGAAGCAACAAAGTGTGTACTTTACAGTGATAATAATAATAATAATAATAATTCATTTATTTTATATAGGCGCCTTTCAAGGCTCTCAAGGTCGCCGTACAAACACGTAAAAAAACAAGATACACAATACCTAACACCAGCATAAGAAACATAAACAAGACAATGCAACAAATAAAATAAATAAAATTGTTTGTGATGTCGTAATGATGAGAGACAATTTTGGACCTATTGTTTTATCTGTTCACTTTTGTCTTTTTGATGATGAGTAGGCTTCCAAGTAAATTACTAAATAAATGTAGAGACACAAAAACATGCACACAAACGCTTCAGCATGAACCCATGCATCTTTAGCTCCCCCTTGTGGTATGTATTAGTTTTAACTTGGGCTCACTTTTCAGTTTTGTTTGCCAGAAAAGTTTCCCTTTATGACATGTTTACCTACAAAACATGTTCACTTTAAAACTGAAGCAAAGGTTACTACAAACTGAAAACGTTGAAGCTACACCACAAAAGAATGTATCCCTCCTAATTTTGTGTTTCCATAAAATAGATACAATACTTTAATTAAACCTATTACACTAAAAATCAACTATTTTTGTCCCTTTTTCCTGTTAGTCTGGAGCTGTTATATCTGGGTGGAAATTTCATCACAGCCATTCCTCCAGAAGTGGCTAACCTGCCCTACCTCAGCTACCTGGTCCTGTGTGACAACCGCATCCAAAGTGTCCCCCCGCAGCTCACCAGGTAACAAAACCAGTGTCTTGTAACCTGATTTCCAGATTACATAAAAGCCAGATTTGTATATGCATTTATCTAATACATTTTGTAGTCAATTTGTATGTGAAAATGTTTCTCTGTCCCACTCCAGGCTCTACTCATTGCGATCTTTAAGTCTCCACAACAACTTGCTCACCTACCTACCGAGGGAGATCCTCTCCCTTGTGCATCTGCAAGAGCTCAGTCTCCGTGGCAACCCACTGGTCGTGCGCTTTGTCAAGGAGATGACCTACGACCCTCCGTCGCTGCTAGAGTTGGCAGCCCGCACCGCCAAGAGCCGGAATGTTCCCTACTCGCCCTGCGACCTGCCCTCCAACCTGCTCGGCTACCTGGACCTGGCCAGCAAGTGCCCCAACCCCAAGTGTGCCGGTGAGACACTTTTATTACATTACATGAAGAAAATGCACAGATTGATATTGAGGTTTTTTTATCCTGTTCAATTTTGTAATTATCATTATTTTCTAAAGTATGGAACTCAGTTTTCTTTTTTTACAACCGACTCTTCTTTTTTAGTTTGAGTATGACCCCATGAAATGAAGATTTGTCATATTTCTACAGTTTTTGACCAATTCAAACATAAAGCACAAATACTTTAAAAGACATTTCAGAGACCTGAAAAGGTCAACTATATCCACAATGTATCTGAGAGAAAGGCAAAGATTTGAGGTCAACTTTTGCCAGACTTTGTGTAGCATGAAGATGTTTTTTGATGATATGTCCTTGATCCAGAACCACTTTAATAACATATGCTGTCGTATACGAAGCCGCACCAAAGAGAAAGACACTTAATATTACAAAATTCATTACATATTTTCCCAAGCCTGCATATGAGTGCTGTTTTGCTTACATCTGAATTTAGGGTGATTAGTCCTATGTTAATGTATAGATACATTCCCTCAGAATAACACAAGTAACCTTGCTTTGTTTCTTCTCTTACTTTTTCCAGGCGTCTACTTTGATTCATGTGTGCGCCAGATCAAGTTTGTGGACTTCTGTGGAAAGTACCGGCTGCCCCTCATGCACTACCTGTGCTCCCCAGAGTGCACGTCTCCCTGCAGCTCCAACCCCCAGAGCGACGCCGAGTCAGAGGACGAGAGCAGCGTGCCCGCCTACCGCCTGCAGAGGGTGCTTCTGGGATAGCACGACGTTATGGAGCAGCCTCTGAGCCTGTCAGTCCTGTCACTGTTAACCACTTATACAGAGATGAACCTGGCTGTCAGACTTTACTCCACATAAACTCAGACACACTGACACACAGTAATGCTACTTTACTGTCTGGAACAACTTCCTCCTACGGACCTGGAAACATATTGACTTCATTTGATTGGATATAAAGAATCCGTTCTCTCACCACATATTACACTACGTAAAACAAGTGAAGAAGACCTTATTGTTCCAAGCAGAGGTTGCGCTAGACTTTTTCGCTGCCCGTCATTTTGACGGACAGGATCGTAAAACTTCCGTCAAAATCCAGAATAACCCGTCGGCCTTTACACAACTCTGACGAGGGTGGGGGGGGGGCGATAGCATGCTTGTGAACTGTCAACGGGGGTCTGGTCTCATGGTGGAGCATACAATGGCAGTGAAACTGTGAAAGTGAGTGAATGAGTGACAGGGCTCTTTTCAATGCAGCAAACATTATCTTTTGACACATGGTGCCAAAGTACATACATTTTCTGAAAGTTTGGATATGAACAATTGTATGTATTTTGTCTTGCTACTAGTGACACACAGCCTCCTCCTTCTGGGTGAGCATCAAAGCTGCTTTGCCAATTAGGATGAAAAGTCTAGGATAAAAAAAAAAGGCTTAGTTAAAACTCTGAGTGCAATGTGTGAGATGGTCTTATTTACACTGTGTGGTTGTGATGTCCCGAACAAAATGAAAAGATCAAGGTTTATCTGTTGGTCTGCACCATGGTCAACTCACAACAGCCTTGATCATTGGTTTGCTATCATGGCATAGTAAATGAATCAAGATGATGGGTTATGTGAGATTGCTGAAGAAAACTTGTCCAGGCCTGTGAAAACCATCACTGTGTAACAAAAGCTATTGAGTGTGACACGGTAGCCTTCATGTTTGTGTTCAGGTCAGTTTTCTCTTGACATAAGAATATAAATGTGTGTAAACGGAGCCAACACTACAGATCTTTTCTGAGTCGTTTTGAGACAGGAAATGGCTGTTCCTGTTTACATCTCTTCATTTGTGTGTGCTGGGAGATATCAGACAGGTTGTGTTTTAAGTGAGGAGTAAGGAGCCCTTGGCTTCACATTAGACCTTTTTTAATGTTTAGAAAACAAGAAAGCTCCTCTATGTTACAGTAACACCTACACTAGAGTATACAAGTGCCTTACTAATGGTGAGTTCTAACACAGTAAAACGGAGTGAGAAGAAATGTGATATATGCACTTTGAAATGTGACAAAATTAACATTATGAATTAAAGTTTTTTTTAGTGATTTTGTACTCATTATCTTAACAGCAGCAAAGAGAACAAATACCCTTTCATAGCTAAATTAAATGTTTTTATAGAAATTATTTTTCAAATATTAAACAAACTGTGTTTTTATTTTAAAGTCTGCAGAATAGATGACACTTGAACAGAAAATATATAGATATATTAATTGTATTTACTTGTACCCCATTCAGATAATGTAAGTAGATTGTACAGAATATAATCACAATAATAAAGACTGATTGTTATATCTTTAAAATGTGTTTGTATTGTGACATTCAAGTTTTTATTTTTTAAAGCAGAGAGTATTTTAGGACAGTAGGACATTTTCATTTTAAAGTTATTTTTAATGCCAGTTAATAAAAAGCAAGTATACAGGGAATGTGTTTTTTGTGCACAACAATTGGAGAGTTTGAAATGTTATTTTTTACATTAACCCAGCCAAACAGTGTGTGCTTTTTCAATGTGTTGAGATTTAATTTGCATTTGAAGGTGAGTTCATTCTTTAGTCTGAATGCTGAGAAACCTTTTCTTTAAGCCAGAACCTAGAGATGCCAAGTGCATTCAGCACAATGTGAATAATCCTTTACCATCATCTGCCAACGGCCACTAAACACTTTGTTCCTCTTGTTTCTTTTCACACTTTGTGTCCTATCCTTGCATTTTCACCTTAGTTTCTTTAAGTCTAGCCTGGTAAGAATGATCTTTTGAGTGCATATATTGTTTGTTTGGTCTGACCTAGTCCCGTCTGGTTTCCAGTGTGACTGCAGTGTTCCCTTTGTTTTTCAATCTTTCACACACATGTAGGACCCAGTCACCAACAGCAGACACATAGGAACTCTCCAGCGAGACTCTAGCACATTGTGTGGAGTTACCTTACATGCTTTGTGTTTAGGAGTGTGTCGTCACAAATGCAATCTGAGATGTAACTGATGCAGCCATGATGAACTGGAAGCAGTACGTTGTGATTGGCAGTTGAAGTCTCACAGGAGGAAGATGCGGTCTCTGTTCCAGTGATCTGAGACTCTGCAAGGTACATGTTTCCCTCTGTAGTCGTATTTTACGTATATAACTTAATACTGTGGGCAATCCCCACAGGAGCAATTTGGGGTGAAGTGTCTTGCCCAGGGACACAACGACATGCTGACTGCAGTGGGGTTTGAACCTGTGACCCCCTGATCCGAACACCAATGCACAACCCACTGCACCACACGCCTCCCTTGTAATTGAGGATTGTTTGTGTCTAAAATATGTTTTTGGTTGCTTAATTTCACCTCATTCTCGACTATCACATTAAATGCAGCACTGCAGGTGATCAGCAGATCAAACGGCAAAGTTATTTGAAATACAGACTGCTTGATACTCTAAGCCTCTTATCTTCTCTGGTCAGCTCACAGTATAGCCAGTGTGTATTAACTTGCATGCCAGACCTCGCACATGACAAGTTATAATTGTACACTCAGCTGAGCCTTTACACACGACAGCCACACACTGCAGACGCCCTCACACAGTCAGACGTTGTCCTCAGAGTTACTCTGCTAATCCCAGAGCAGAACGTCTGGTCTGAGCCCAGAGCCACAAGGAGGTGCTGCCTGGACGCGGTTATAGGGAGAGATGAGCAATGGGTGAATGATAATACACCACTGGGTTAACAATGTTTGATTGCTATGGCGAATAACTTGAAGCTTTAAAAAACAAAACAATTATGCTATCACAGTCATTTGACCCAACATCATCCCCTTTACACAAAAAAGTGAGAAAAGTTTACATATTGATACAACATTTTTGGAGGGAATAGGAAGTGCGTATCAGCTAGAAGATGTTGCCGTTTACAGGAAAATACCTCTTTAACATCCAGGTTTTGACATTTTTAGCTGATAAGATTATACTTACAGTAACTTTTCCTTGAGCAATCAGACAGTTTTCTTCCATTTTCCTCTCAAGTTGAAACTATTTTGCTCAACTGTCAGAGATAACACATTTAATTGAAAAAGCTAGCAAGTGGACCCTCAATATAAGATTTGTTACAAACTACGCTTGAAAGTCTTGAAAATGCTAGTAAGTGCACCCAGATTTGATTGGTGGAGCTACTGTTTTGAATAAAGCTTGGCCTTGAGGTATTTCTTTTACCACATTTTGAAATCCAGAAATTAGCACTGCTGACGGTTAACATGTTTTACTGTTTTCATTGTCAAACTTTTGACCAACTAAAAAATACAAAGACCTATTGACACATTATTAGTAGATGTTTTGTATTACCTTCATTTAAAGATGTTTTAATAAATATGTTTTAATGTAAACTGGATTAAAGTATCCAGGAAACTGCTACACCTGCCAAACATCAGAGACCAGACAGAGAAAGTGAGCCACTAGCTAATGAACATAGTGGGCAGTTTGTCAGCTAGATAGTGGTATATTTCCACTTATTTCCAAAAATAATCAAGTAATGGAGGTTTCAAGTTAGTTATGACTACATACTAGAAATCATATATGAGCTTTAAAACATTTCACATGGCACATTTTCTGGCACTTACTGCTTTATTCGTTTCTATACTTGTTTTTTCCCCCGCTTAATTTAAAAACTAAAATCAGCTGTGAAAGTAAGTGGACTGATGCTTCCCACTATGAGCCTCCAGGTCCATAGCAACCCAGCAGGAGGAGCCTCAGTGTCCCAGAGAGGGATTTGTCTTTGTGTGTTAGTGGGCAAACCTGGGCATGTCCCAGGGGAGTGTCCAGGCTCTGCCAAGCACAGTGTAAGACCGGAGGGGGTAGGAGATGCTTCACACACACTGAACAATGCCTTTACACCCACACAGTCTTACACGCTGCAGAATACTGGAGCTGTGGCCAGGTATTGAATCACAGCTGCTTCCATGTGAGGAAACGGAGCTGCTGCTCCCTGTCAGGAGGGGCTCAACAGGAAACTATGTGTCACTGGATTGAAAGCCTCACTTGTTTTTTATTGTGGTTGGCAGACTTCCAGCTGATGCACAATATGGCAGTAGAAAAAGTTGGCAACTGTATGTGACACCTGTGTTTGTTAATTAGAACATCTTTATGTTAGAGTTGATCCCCCGTAACCTCAGTAGAGCGACACGCGTCCTGTTTCATTCAGCTTCTGCTTCTTGACTCCTGCTTTTTTGAGTGAGCCCTGTGTCGCCAGATGAAATATTCAGGATCCTGGTAATCTGAGCATTGGTGCAGTCCAACTGCTGCTGGTACAGTCCATCTTGAACCTGATCTTGGAGGAAACCTGAGAGGATTTGCCACGCTTTGGGTGTAACAGAGCTGGCAACTGTGTTTTAGTCATTCAATGGGGTGGTGTCATTTGATCAGAAAGCACAGGTGATGTTGAGTAGAGAGGCAGCGGTCTTCTTTTCTTCCAGAGTTCACTATTTCTGTGTCACAGCTTTTCAAATTTCATATGCTGATTAGTTTGTCATGTGTTTTTGCTTTTAGGTGGTTTTTGATATGATTGTAGACATCAGAATCCATAATAATAGTGCACCCAGTACCAGCATTAGTAAACAGAAGAATAATCTCAAGTACAGAATATCACTTTTATATTAAAAATAACTACATTGTATTTTGTTGCATTCTCCACAGGGTTTAAACATTGAGCTTCTTTTAGAGAATGTGAAGCTCACAGGAATTTCAGGCATAGTTTTGTATTGAACAGAGTATTTACTTGCCTGCTTGAATTGTCAAAAACTGCAACTGCATGGTGCAAAAGTCCATCCTGAAAGAGGACATGATTGGCTACTCATCATAAGTAAAACTTTTGGTTGGATAGATGTTAACGCCCCCCTTGTTTTTTTAAATGAGACTTACCATAGCATTTAAATGCCTGAAGGATTTTGGGTTAAGCATGCAGAGAACTACATTTTCTCAAAACCAAACATAAAGAGAATAAGCAGTATGAATTGAAGTGCGTGCGACTAAGTGATGGCATTGATGATTGAATGAATATCTGCAAATTCTCCTCTTCTTTAGTAATCTGTCTTTGTGCCTCTGTTCCTCTCCTACAGCTGTCAGTGGAGGTGACACTCCCTCATCAGGAATGACCCTGTTTGTAGGCTCACACTATAAATCTTTTTGACGTCTTAATAACACCTTTATGCTTCTTACGACTGACGGAACAAATGCAATAATATTTCTGCTGGCTCACTGCTCACAGAAAGGAGCTCTTTTCTGTCTTTGTGTGTGATTTACCAGCCGATCAGCTACTTTGTTAATCTCTCTGATGGAAGCCTGCTTTTGGAAAAAAAATAGCAATGATTTGTGTTTCTCTTTCCACAAAAAAAACTGCTGTTTTTCACTGTATTTATTTGCACTGTGGACACAGAGTGTGCCGCCCTGTCCCATATGCCACCCAGTCCCCTGGGCCCTGCAGCATGCTACCCACACTGTCACAGCCCCCCTGCCCCACATGGATCACTTCACACTCTGAAAGCCATTTGGGCAGCAAGAGCTGAAAAGGTATAAGAAGGGGGGGAACAAGTGATGTCGAAATTGGCTATCTTAATTAATTTATTGTAGCAGATCTTTACCTATTTTTCCTACGTTTTTTGTTTTTATTTCACATTTGCTACGGAAATGCTATAACTTCCATAGCTATACAATAGAGTAATAGAGTAAATGTAAAGGTCAACAATAAAGCAATTTCAAGAGTGAAAAAGAGAGAGAGGGTGAGAGAGAGTGTGTGAGAGAGAGAGAGAGAGAGAGAGAGAGAGAGAGAGAGAGAGAGAGCGAGAGAGAGAGAGAGAGAGAGAGAGAGAGAGAGAGAGAGAGAGAGAGAGAGAGAGAGAGAGAGAGAGAGAGAGAGAGAGTACGCGCGCGCCTCCCAACTCAGTAGTCAGTTGAACTTTTCCAGAGTGGCAGGATCTTCTTGTGCTGTGGACTGACAGTTTGTCGGACAGATTAAGCCGTGGAATTTATTACGAGAGTGCGGCTATGGGACCTTTTCAGCTATGTTAGGTAACACATTATCCAGTCGTTTAATTCCAAGTTTTACTGCAAAGTTTGTGAGTCTGGATCGATGGAGTCTGGAGCGGGACGAGCTGATGGGATCCTCCTTGCGCTTTGGAGACCGAGGTTTGCTACTTTAAACTTGTATTTTATTACTTTCCCCTTGTTTTCTTCAGCATACTCGTTAATGTCATTATGTCTTATTCCGCGAAATAATAGGTTTAAACTGTACGGTGCAACTGTATCAATGCAACCGAAGCTGAGCACATGTTTTTACGCGTCTCCACCAAACAGGATTGTGTAAATAAACAGTTAATTAATTAGCTGCTGATGGAGATCCCAACTGATTAAGATATTGCACGATACACGTGGTTAGTTGGTCTACAAAAGCCGAAAATCATGAATTTCTCTTGGGCATACAATAATTCTGTATAGTTTCTTAATAACTTTCTCTTTGTAAACGAATTGTTAATGTACCAATCGCATTTCGTCAGGTGTTTTGCTTTAAACGGTCTCATACAGCAGATGTGCAGACTCAGATCAAAAAGGAATTCTTATGACGTTTGACAAATTGGGGTGACTAATATTAAACCACGCAGGCTGTGAACGCACCATGTGGCTCAATTGACGTGTGCCGGGCCTGAGGCGGGATTTCAGTGCAAGCAATTGCATTCTAACTCAGTTTAACGAATATATTTATAAACGGATTATTTTCTGCATGGAATGTTTCAATGTTGGGCCCTGAACCGGGCATTATGCTACATCTGGCAGCGCCTGCATGTGGTGACTTTCCTCTAATCTTAGGAGAAACATATATGGACTGACAGGGCGATGAATGGGCTTTAGCTCACTTCTTTTATTTAAAGTATAGGCTACTATGGTAAAAGGTTAGTCAAACTCAATTCTGTCCCTCGGAGCCTCAAGGTTTGTAAAAATGGGTGACATATTATTGCAATATTTTAAATATTAAATATTGGAGATATTTCAACCAATTCAAGTAAATAAGAGTTTAAGTGAGGCCACAGTGGAAGTGAAGGAGTCAAAGCTAAGCTTCACAGGTAAGGCCCACCCTAAATTGAAGCAAGACATTCAAGGCCACAAGTAGCTCAGGTATTACTTGCGGTTTAGCCTTCAGGACTTCAAAAGACACTCCTCATGACTATTCTGAGCTGTCAAAACATGTCCATAAACCTAAGTCAGCCTGGGGAAGGGCCCTGTTCCTGCTGCTTACACCGTGACCCCCACCATGGCTGGATGTTGACTGACCTTTGTTGACACCTGCAGGGTGGCAGGTTTTCTACCAAACTGAAAGCTACAGAGGCAGGATTTGTTTTTCAGAAGGAAATGCCTCTCTCTGGCGTCTTTTCCTGCGGGAAGCAGCAGAACTGTGATCTAAACTTGGAAAGTGACTACAGGAAATGAACAGGAACTCCAGACATTTCCCAGATATGCTTCCTGGAGAGCTTCATTGTTCTGTTGACACCATTAATTTATGGAAAGCAGTCACTGGGATTCACTCAATAATGTTGGTTTACACCAAGGACATCTTTCAAGTCTTTAACTCATGTTGTACAGTTTCCTTTCAATGTTCAAATGCAAAGATGTCCCAAACCGCTTTGTTTTGATTGAATCTCCAACTTTCCCAGAGTGCTTTTGGTATCTTAGTCATTCTACAGACAATGACGAGTCGTGTGCTGTCTAATAACACGCTGCTCCTGTAAACAGTCACCTGTCTGCCAATTTGTATCGATACAGTTGGTCTCACATGGTCTCGACAACATGTAGCTGAGTCACTGCACCTTTCAGTGATCAGACTCCCAGTCTGTTCTACAGCTCAGAGTATCAGGTGATACCGTGGCGCATAATAAAATGTGCAACATGTCAGTACACATGGTAGCTTCATAAAAATGCCTGTGGCAAGAGTGACAAACAGTTGTTTGCTGATGCTCTCCAAATTTAACATCTTGATTCTCAGAAGCCTTATATAACCTGGCTGATTGCAGATTGAGTGGCACTCGATTTAAAGTAAATTGTAGCTTTGGTAATATGCAATTGTTACATTTTATAATTCTTCTTGCTCTGCCTTTTGCCGATCACACACATCAGTGTCACAGCAGTGTGTTCCTGCGTTGGCTGGGTTGCCTCAGTAATGACGTAATGCTAGTGGAAATTGAGGATAAGCAAAAACAAAAAAGCTTCCTGTCACACAGAGAGTCGTGGCTTCTCAGTTTGTTCAGTTGTGGTAAATATTTGACTCTTTATTTGGGGATTTTTTTATTCTAATCTTAATTTTTTTAATAAGTGTCTGTTACATTTATTTGTGGTTATGATCTAAAGCGTTTTCCTTGCTGTGATATCACTGTGGTGCAAAATGACATGGATGCTCCCATTGTTATTCCACTCTGTCAGAGCACCACACTGTGGTGGCTAAAAGTCTTGCAACTATTTTGTGTGACCTGGAAAAAGAAGCCGGACTGCACATGAAGTGTGTATCCCCGGGGTGCTTCCTGTTACTGGATATAAATGTGCAGTTAAATGTTATGACTGCTGGGCATAGAGAATGTATGCATGAATGCTAAGACCGGTTTTATATAGAGTTATATCATTGTCATATGTAAAAACGTATCATCCGTTTGTTCCTCAGGATGTGTGTGTGAAAGTGGACAGACTGGGGTCAGTCATGGAGCCTGAGCTGAACTGCAGCTCACAGTGTGATTCCCCACTCTGCTCGATACACCCGGGAGTGAACCGACAGGAGGGCATCGACATTCTGCAGAGAATATGCAGTCTCAGCATGGTAATCACACACACACACACACACACACACACACACACACACACACACACACACACACACACACACACACACACACACACACACACACACACACACACACACACACACACACACACACACACACACACACACACACAGAAATTTAGTGTACATATCTTAAGAATGCAGACTCGATGTAAACAGATATACATGGTGACACGCTTATGCTTACATATACATATACACTCAAACACATATTGGCAGACAAAGCTATATGAAATCCTGCATGGCTGACGACCAACTGAATATTTTTGTCCCTTCAAAAGGTTAAAGAGTAAAAACACATTATCCCAAGTTTTAAATTGCATATGTAGTCTCTTATGTTGACAGACCAAACACATTATTGACACAGGGCTGAATTCCTAAAATACAATTTAAACAACATTTAATTTTTGGTCATAGCTTTTGTTTACACATCCACCGCTGTTTTTTTGGGCTGCAAGATTATTTTAATTATCTATTTATCTGGTGATTATTATTTTTTGGAACAGTAGAATTAATCGTTTCGTCTGAAGAAAATCTGAAAATAGTTAAAACGTATCCATCATATACATTTTTTTTGGGGTAATTATTTTGTTGTTGTTTGATTAATTGATTAGATGAACAGTCCTCTGCGGTTGATAAACTTGGGCCTAGCTTAAGATATTGGGAATATCAAAAACACCTTTACAATTTCAAAGCATCTAGTGCTATTTACCACTTAAGAGGTCAAAGCAAAAGAGGAGATCTGGAAATGAAATGCCACTGGACTACTATAGTTATTTTTAGTATTGCCTCAGTCACTGGTGCCTTTAAGAGGCGGGCACACGAAAGTCTAATGTGACTTTCCAAATAGAAACTAAAGTAGTAGAGCGACTGTTACAGGGAACACAAACACTCTCCTTTAGACTCCCTTCCTCTGGGTGCTACACCACATACAAGCAAGGTAAGTTATCTTTTATATTTCTTTCCCTCTTTGTGATGTTTATTTCTTATCAGTCTCAAAGTGGAGAAATCACCTTCACTTAATATGAAAGGAACCCTGAACTGCGCTGTATTTGTTTTGTTATGGTAAAACATTTTAAAACGATTGTATTTTCATGTAATGTTTTATTATAATGTCCTAATAATTCAAGTTGATTATTGTCTGTAAACTTGGTAAACATGAAACATGTTCAGCAGCTAGAATGGAGTATGCTTTGATGAAATGTAACACCATGCATTTGTTACTATTAATGGACGTAGACTGCTCGCCAGGCACAACTGTCTCCTAATAGCATAGTGTAAAGAAAAACATGGTAGGACTGGAGCCAACCTCTTCTATAAATCCCACCTGCTTTTCTTTCTGGATGTGTTCCCAGATATGGCGACTGCTGTCAGTTTGCTGACCGAGGAGCAACTTCTTTGCCCCATCTGTCTGGATTTGCTCAACCAACCTGTCTCCACTCCTTGTGGGCACAACTTCTGCAGGGACTGCATTCAGGGATACTGGCAGAGCGCTAATCTGTCGCAGTGCCCCATGTGCAAGCAGAAGTTTTACAGGAGGCCTGAGCTCAAAGTTAACATCTTCATATCCGACATGGCTTCTCAGTTCAAGAAGTCATTAGAAAAGAAAGAAGAAGAAGAAGAAGCCAGTATTTTGGACCAATATTCAAGCCACAAAGGCAACGTTTCATGTGATGTGTGTGTTGGAAAAGGGGTCAAGGCTCTTAAATCATGTATTGACTGCTTGGCCTCCTTCTGTGAGACCCACCTGGAGCCCCATCACATTTTAGGCACCTTCAAGAAACACCACCTAATCAACCCTATGATGAACATGCAAGACAGAGTGTGTAGGAAGCACGAGAAACTCCTGGACCGGTTCTGTAACACGGACCAGACTTATGTGTGCCAGATATGCATCAAGAGAGACCACAATGCTCATCACACTGTACCTATAGAGGAGGAGAGCAGAGACAGGAGAGCTCAAATTGGAAGGCTAAATGCAGAGGTGGAAGAAATGATTCACGGCCGACTTGAGAAAATCAGCGAAATCAATCAAAGTGTTCAGCTCAGTAAAGGAAACACAGAAAGAGAGACTGAAGAGAGTTTGCAAGTCTTCAACAATCTGCTCCACATGGTCAAGAGAGGTCAGGCTGAGGTGGTCGAGGTGATCGGTGCCAAGCAGAGGCAAGTTGAAGGCAAGGCAAGAGGCCTCATTCTGGAGCTGGAGCAGGAGATCGAGGAGCTGAGACGGAGAAATGCTGAGCTGGAGCAGCTTTCATACACCGAAGATGACCTCTACCTTATCCAGAGCTTTCCAGCTTTCTCCACACTGCCAGCTACGAAAGACTGGACCAACACCTGCGTGGAGAGTGCTGTATATGTGGGCACGGTGAGGAGAGCAGTCAGGAGAGTAGCGTGTCAGCTGGAGGAGACCGTGAAGGCTGAGGTGAAGAGGCTATGTGAGACTGAATTTAAGAGGGTTCAGCACTGTGCTGTTGATGTGACTCTGGACCCTGATACAGCTCATCCCAAACTGGTGCTGTCTGGAAACAGGAAACAGGTCCATCACGGGGATGTAGCACTGAGACCCCCAGATGATCCAGAGAGATTTTACCCAGGGGTCAGCGTGTTGGGAAAGAAGGGTTTCTCCTCTGGAAGGCTGTACTATGAAGTCCAAGTGAAGGGCAAAACGGAGTGGGATATTGGAGTTGGGCTTCAGTCCGTCAACAGAAAAGGAGGGAATATACTAAACCCTGAAACAGGCTACTGGGCCCTGGGGATGAGGAAAGACAAGAGCTACTGGGCCCTCAGCAGCACTCCTATCCGTGTGCCGCTGGTAGGGAAGCCCCAGAGGATCGGGGTGTTCGTGGATGTCGAGGGGGGGCAGGTTTCTTTTTACGATGTGGAATCTGCTTCTCATATCTACTCATTCACCGGATACTCATTCGGTGAAAGACTGTTCCCCTACTTTAACCCTCGGCGTAATCATGGCGGGGTCAACTCGGCTCCTATGATCATCTCGCCTTTCAACGTCTGAAATCTGACATCTGACATTTCCTCTCTTCCTATTGCTTTCAAATATTTAAAAAATACATTTTTATCATTTTCAAATGATGTTTGCTACTCTGTCACAATAAAGTTTGTATATCCATCTGAAGCTTTTTACTTCTTTTTGGTGCTTTTATGTTCTCTATTATAAAAACAATGATTATAAGGCACATTCATATGATTTACACCTGTCATATTTTAGACTTGATGTTAAGCGTTTTGCATGTGTGTGTGCAGATGGCCGTGGAGCTACCGAGGCGCTCTGTCTCCCCGGTGGTGAGTGCCGTGGCGTGGACGCTGCTCTCCTGTGGCATCCTGCTGGCTTTCTGCTTCCTCCTCTTCACCCTGCGCTTCAAAAACAACAGGTAGACCACAAGGCGAAACACATTGAATAATACCATGAAAAGATATTTAATCAATTGTGTGTCGTCTCATGTTTTGTTATCAGGATAGTGAAGATGTCCAGTCCCAACCTGAATGTCCTGACTCTCTTTGGGAGTGTCCTCACCTACAGCAGCGGCTTCCTGTTTGCCGTTGAGGATCGATCGCACTCACAGGGTGGAGCATCCACAGCCGTGCTACAAGTAAGCCCTGCGGTTCCCCTCAATCCCTCATTATATTATCGGATAAGTCCTTGTTGGATAACCATGCAGCGCTCTCTCATCCAGGCCCGGATGTGGACTCTTTGTATCGGCAGTACCCTGGTGTTTGGCCCAATTTTGGGGAAGACATGGAGACTGTACAGAGTGTTCACCCAGCGAGTGCCTGACAAGAGAGTGGTAGGCATTCTCCAACCTCATCTTACTCTAAATGTTATTTTATAAGTCTTCTTTTGAGAAGGATAATGTTTTAACAAAGGCATTCAAAGATAAACCATGGAATGAACATTATGTTTTTTCCAAAATGTGGGCCATGGCCAAAGTCATTAGCATTTGCTGTAAATTCAGGAAGTTTTAAAAACGTTTGCAAGATTATTTAAATGTTTTACTACATTTTCATTATATTCTCACTAATGCTGCTCTTTAAATAAAGACATTTGGAGGGATTTTTTCAAATATTTTGTATACCTCTTGAGTATGATGAAACACCTTTTGTTGCACAACTAAATGTTGCAAATCAATATGGTTGCTTCAATCCTTTTTCTTTCCTTGGAAGAACAATTATTTTTGTATGTTGATGCAAAACTGGATTCATATACAGAATGATTTAATGAGGATTACCGTATTTAGAGGATTGCTAGGCCTAGCTACAAGCTCTCTTGTTCTTTCAATGTTCCTACTGTTTCATTACTCTTCCAAAAGAGACTCAAAATGTTCCCTAACTGTAGTGTTACAGTCTTATATGGATGAGAATGCAATACAAATGATTACATCTGTATGTTATTGACGGGACTTGACTTTTCTTCTCAGATTATCAGAGACATCCAGCTGATGGGCATGGTGGCTCTGTTGGTCCTGGTGGACATGCTGGTCCTCACGGCCTGGAACCTCACCGACCCCATCAAGTGTTCACGATCTGTAGGAGCTACGGTCAAGGTAGAATGTAATAGTGATTTTGTGGGGCTGAATAGAACGTTTTTAAAACAAGTTAAGAATGTTTTTTTTAAGCTACAAAACAGTTTGAGGGGCAGGACACAGCCTACTTTATTTTATAGAAATCGTTATCTGATGCTTGTTGGTTACAATAAAACAACAACAAATTACAATAGTTTGATTTTCATAAAATTAAAAAAAAAAGGTTGAATTTTGTGACAAAAAAAATGAAAATGTCCTTTTCTTTGATCCACTATCTTAAAGTATTTATTTATAGACATGTTCGTGACATAGCCACATTAATTAGGGTTTCAACTCACTGATGGTTACACTGTTTCTTCTTGATCTAGGTTGTGGACAGAGACATTTCCTACTCTTTGTCTCAGCTGGACTCCTGCTCCTCTGCATACTCATATCTGTGGGTTATCATTATTGCTGTTCAGAAGGTTTGTAATCTCTATTCTATTGAAATGCAATTCTAAAACACAACACAGCTTTTAATTCCTTTACTGTTATGGTGGTATGATGGATTGATTTATATATTCTGTGTCTTTAATTTATCTTTACTTTTTTCCTTAGGGTTGTCTTCTCCTCTATGGGACTTATCTAGCTGGGCTGACCAGTAACGTCAGCCATCCTCCAGTCAACCAGTCTCCCACCATCATAACTACCGTCACTTTGGTCACCCTCTTTTCTGCTGTAGCCATTCCTGTGTCCATCTTCCTACAGGCCTGGCCCAACCTGGTCTACAGCACTGTGGCTGGAGCCATTTTTATCTGCACAATGGCTACCAACTGCATGCTGTTTGTGCCGCAGGTAAGAAAAAACAGCTAGTGGTACAAATGCAAGATGCATGAAAAAAACAACAAAACGTTTTTAGATACAAGCTGCAGGATTTGTTCTCTCTTTACTATCTCTGGTTATAACACCGGCAGTTTCGGAGTATCTTTAAAACAGAAACCATGAGGGAGGGAGATTTTATTTTTAGGCAAAATAACTGTCATCTAATCATAGGGCACTATGTCTGGAAACCTTCATTAAAAACCATCAATCAGACAGGCAGAAACTCAAGATAGACAAATGGATGACAGATGGATGTCTTCCTCCCCTCTACAATATACGAGTGAATGTGGTGAACACACCTCTGATCTCTATATGCGTACCCATTGCCATGTCTGTCAGTGGACTGTGACTCACACAGGAGGTGGGAATGATTCAAATCTACGTAGGATGTTGCAAACAAGTTTATGACTCTCTACGTGTCTGGCAGTAACTTTATGTCAGGATAAAGGAATGCTTCTTCAGTTGAAGGGAAGGAAATATTTGAATAGTGAGCAATAGGCTCAAACACACCTGGTCAATAGATCCCCTGTCAAATGGTTCTGGTAACATGAACTACTGGTGCATGTGTGTAATGTAACTATTTTATGATTGTGCAGCTGACCCAGTGGCGGCAGTTTGAAGAGGACCAGAACAACCCAAGTCAGATGGCCAAGTATTTCAGCAGCCCCAGTAAGAGCCTGCCCTCGGTGTACAGCCAGGATGAGATGTACTACGTGTTGGGGGAAAACAACTCCATGAAAAAAATACTTAATGAGGTACCGTATCATTTTGTTATTCAACTGAATACATTCAACTGATAAATGTTTCCAGGATTAAGCTACATAATTCCTTTATTTATGATTGTGTTGGTTGAATTGAAGCCAACAGTGGTGTCAAACTGACATAAAACCCCTAATGTGTATGTGAAATGTGTTTTTCTTACCTTTTCCAGAAGACCGCTGTGATTGACAGTCTGCAGGAGCAGGTGAACAATGCCAAGGACAAACTCCTGCGACTCATGTCAGCCAGCCGCCCCCCCGAGGACATGGACTCTTCCAACACCAACCTCAACTCCTCCTCCACTCAGACCACGGAGGTTCAGTCTGAAGGCCCTTCTTCTTCTTCTCTACCTCGAAAAGACTCTTCATCCCAACTCCCGCCACCAAATCTCTCCTCTCACCACACTGCTGCTGCTGTTCCAATGTCCTCTGATCCTCCCTCTGCTCCAAGCTCCTCAGCCCCCATTGATGCTTCTTCTCCTCTCCCTGGTGATATTTATAAAAGCGAGAACCAGAGAGGCGTTTCTACCACTGGCAGAGACACATCTGAGAGGGTGGAGGATCTTAAATCGCCTGCAGCTCTCCTGTGCCCGGGCTCACTCGGGACAGCAGAAGAGACGGTTGATTTTGTCACTTCGCTACAATCCCATAGAGGGTTAAACCCAACACAGGTTAAAACGTTCAACAGACAGAGTTCCCTAACATCCCCACTGGGTCCAAATGCTCGACCGAATGGTTTTGTTAGCAGCGATCAGTTGCAGGAGATTCTCCAGGAGCTGAGTGTGGATGCAGTCATGGAAATCGCACTTCGATCACCGGGTCAGACGTTCAGAAGGCCTTCTCAGCTAAAATGTCTGGAAGCCTCCGCACTTTCCCCTCTCTCCCTGCGGACACCACGCTCCCCTAATCCACCAGTTCTCTTCCGCTACCCCAGCATCTCCCCCTACACTATGAGGAAGCGTCGGCCACCCTTCCACTCCCCCAGAAGAGTGTTGAGCCCTCCCTGCTTCTACCCAGCCCCTGAGGCTACTGGCTGTGGAAAGAAAAGGGACAACCAAAATTCAGGAAAGCACCCTGATGGACTCACTGGGGATGGCATCGTCCTCCAGGTGCACAACAATGAACTAAATCTAGATGAGGAAGAGGAGGAGGAGGAGGATGCGGAAGAGAATGAGGTGAGAAGGAAACGTCGGAGGCGTGCTTTAAGGTCCCACAGATGTTCAGTCTTGCCCGGTGCAGATGGCTCACTTGATGTGGAAGCGGGTGGTGGTAATGAGCACCACAGACGTATGAGAGACTCCTGTGGGTACTGGGACTCAGACTCTAGCAGCTCAACAGACTTCTGTTACTACCACCGTCCGTACTGTGACTCCTGCCTGCAGCGGGGCTCTCTGATGTCCTCAGAGAGCTCCTCAGACTCTGACAGCGAGTACGAAGGCTATGCCAGCCTGTACCGCTCCCCACACCCTGTAGTATTCAAAGAAGACCTCAAACCCACATTTGTATAAGCACAGGTCAACCGCACTTTACACGACCATCCATTTCGACCACTTGAATTTATTTCTGAAGAAACGTCCAAATTAGCTTTAAGGATAAAGCACAAGTTCATTGTGGATAAAGCTAATGTGCTATCTATAATGGGAGATCATTTGACTGTTACATGTTTTAATCTCTTTATGAAAAGAGTGTTTGTATTCTTTATTAGTGGGACAGAGTAGTTATTTTATTAGGATAATGAGGCTGTTATCCTAATAAAGGCTGTTGACCTTTTAATATTAGTTATTTCTAGATTTATGCTTTCAGATGAAATGTCATAGACTCCATAAATGTCTAAGTCGGACTTTTAGAGTAATACATAAAAACCCAAAGGTATGGTTTACACAGTTGAAATGTGCACTATGTTAAGTATTGTGCAAATATTGTATTTATTTTAATATTTATGATAAGATATCTGGATGTACAGAAACATTCCCTGTCCACTTTCTATTGTATTACCTTGTCTTACACATTCCTTAAAGTGTTGTTTAATTGTATGGTGGACATTTTGTTGTTTGTGAGTCTTGCTTAATGTTCTTATACAGTACATTTTCTAAACGCTCTACGTGTGTTATCTGTAGCTGGTTTACGAGACACCATGCACACACTATCTGAGCAAATGGAAAAGACAGGTCACTGCTATGCTTTGACACACTTTTCTTAGTGTATTTTTTCCGAATAAGAGTATTTCATGAGCAAAGTTCAGTTATCTGGAGTATGCGTCTTGGACTTGTGTGTACGTGAGAAACAAAGAGTGCCTTGCTGCCTTTAGATTTCTGAGCCCTGTTTATTTTCAAAAGAAACTTCCTACCACCTCTTCTTCATTTTGCAGCTTTTTCTGTTTTATACAGTGGAGTAGAAAAAGTACAGCATGAAAATCCCACAAAGCTCTGGATTTATGTAGGCTTGGATAAGCCTGCTAGGGGGTCACAGGGCAACAATTACTCCGTATTAATTATCCACGCTCACAACTTTTCCCAGAGCTTTTCAAACCAGCAAACCACAATGCCCCAGGTTTGCTGTAGTCAGTTAGTTAGGGAGTTTTAAGGATATTCTTGCAGCATAGACACAACATCTCTTCACAATCTTGGCCTCTCTCTCTTACTTCCTTCCACTATCTCCTTTTTGTCTCTCTTTATTTTTATCTTCTGCTAATGGGCAAATGACTGTTTGCCAGAGGATGTGTTGCTGTATGAAGGGAAAACAACGTCTCATGTTACTTCTGCTCTGCAGCCTGTTTTTGAGACGCCATCGCTATGTTTTCTGCATATACACCATTGAAGGGCAGCGTAGGAGACATTCCCTTTGATATAGAGCATAACAAACTATAAATAAACCACACAAAAGACAGACTACCAGCATCACTGTGCAGGAGGAAGGACTTCCTTGCCAAGTGACCTGCATTCAATTCAAGTTTAGCAGTACTGACATATTGAGATATTTTATTAATAAAAATCACTTCTCTTTCTCAAAACAACATGATAGTCCATGGTTTTCCAATACATCCCTCATTATTTATAAAAAAAATCCTTAATTTGGGGGGGGGGGGGGGCACGAGCTCCAACAAGCCGTTTTGGGCAGAGAGTGCATACACATACTACTATACAGAGATGCTGTATGAGAAACCAATGTGAGTTTGCAAAATTGCACAATATAAATCTATTCTAGTAGACCTCAACAATGGAATTATGATCAGTAGAAATGGCCATGACATGGTGGAACCTTTAAGGCACTATTTACACCGTTTTGAAACTAATGGCTTTATTATGTTTGATCAATTATTGAGTAATGCTTTGTTGTTCAATTAAAAGCCAATCATGATAATTATTTTGGGTTACAAGATTGTGAAAAAGCAATTTGAGTTATTCGACTCTATTGCAAAAAAAAAGTTCAGTAAGTAATCACATGGGTGTTGTAGTGATATCTATTAGTTATATATTCCTTATTCACTTGATGTGTCTTGCAAAATGTATGGGATTATACAACACTTATTTTTAAAGGCTGACTTCACTAAAAAAAAATAATCTTGAACTCGGAGGCATACATCTATACTACAGTAGCACTTACATACACACAACTTTCAAGTTTCCTTCCCATATTTCTTTTACAGAGGAGTTTGTTCATTCATCCAATATACTTTAATCCTAAAAACACAGCAAAAAGTTATGTTTATATGGCTGTTGAAAGTTTTCTGATTTATGATACAAAGAGTCCTTCTTATCCTTTCACATATATGTCAACAAAACAAAACAAGAGTTTGGACCTGGCTCTATCCAATGTTACCAAAATATATCCTGGCAACTTAAACTAATTTCCTAATTAACAGCTAATCTATGTGCACAAGTAACAGTTCAAGGTTCAGCTGCTTTGTTATTACACAATATAGGAATTAGAGATTCTGCTTTAGCCCAATCCAACCTACGCAGATCAAATGAAACAAACACAACTAAGAAACCATAAAAATGTACAAAAGAAAATATAACGTTTTGTATATGTAACATCACTGCAATATATAGGCCCTATATCAGAGTTTTGTTGAAAAGACTTGAGGTTGTCACATTGATGAGTGAAGGGAGTGTTGCGGTTAATGATTTATATACCATTTATAAATTAGTTTCAGCTTATAAACCCTTATTAAAGTGCACTGTACTAGAAAGCAGTAGTCTACCCTACTGCATGCACGATTGAATGTAAGGTGACATTATTAACCTGGATAAAGGGCTGTTGTGACAAGGCAGCCATGCACATATTAACACACGCATTATTAAAATTACTAAGCATTATGGCACTAATTAAATGGTAGTGCCAGAGGGCTGTGTGAATGAAAAAGTGAAAGAGAGATAGTGAACGTGCCTCTGTGACTAACATAGCAACAGTGCTGCATGACCACAGGTGCACTATGACAGCTGGGTCCATTTGACAGGCTTGTTTTAGAGCTCCATTGGCCGAAAAAGTAATCAATCCTGGGAGCAGATCCGCCCATTGTCCCTGTCGCGGCACGGGAAAAATCCTTTGAAGTCATGGGGGCGTTGCCAAGCAAATTATGCCATGTGGTGCTCAAGAGCAGGGTTCGTATTGGACCACAGTAACACGGGAAACGCCCATTCCTGAAGGATACTCTCTCTGATTGGCTAACTCGGCCACCCCAGATTCGCCGTTTGCGCGTTCACAGTTGCTCTATTCTCCGTTGCAGTTTACGTCAACAGCGTGAACCTCCTTCTGTGACAGCGGAGCAAGCCCTGTAACCTTTTACGGAAATAGCGTAGCAAACGTGCGCAACGACAAAGACTATGGGGAAGGAATAAAAAAAGAAATGCAGTATCGTCGCACTCTGTACCTAAGGACCATCATTTTCTGAAGAGGTAGCTGCCCCGGAGCCTCGGGGAAGACACCGAAATTTGACGACAACGAGGGCGGATTTTAAATAGGCACTGAGCCTTTGATTTCGTAGAGAGAGACTGTGGTAACTGGCAGATTTTCCGTTGGACGGTCTAGCGAGGGAGCCGCCATGGCAGTCGGATCATTGAGCCTCCACATCGGGATATGAATAGGAACTGCATGTGTCCCGAATAGTCAAGAAAACGCCGCATATCCTTTGATCCTCACAGGATCAGCTATCCTAACAACTGATCTCACCCTTCCTCATCTTTGTGAAAGTGATTTTACACCCAGAAAGTAATCACTATTGGTTTTAATCGGGGGGCCACAGGGAGAGGCCAGATTCATGACTATTTTAGTCGGAGACGTTTCTTCAGAGGCCCGCTGAGAGAAAAACCTGGAATATAAGGAAGAAATGCTGCTCTGATTGACCGTAGGTGGGCAAGAAAGGGTATTTTATTGGGAGAAACAGACTACAGTGAAGGATAAAGGGGTCGCTTTCTGCCTATCTTCCCTGTGAATTTCATTTACTGTCATCCTTTTTGGATGAGAAGGTCCGGCAAATCAATCAGCCCTGCCGTATAGCCAGTCACCGTCTCCGAGCAGAGAGAGAACCAGAGGGATTGGATCATGTCGGGTCGGCCTAGGACCACATCCTTCGCGGAGAGCTGCAAACCAGTGCCGCAGCCCTCGGCTTTCGGCAGCATGAAAGTCAGCAGTAAGTACAGCCCTGTGAAGAGCAGCTTTCTTCTCCTGCATGCACCAGGCCCAGTGTGGGTTACACATCCTCGCTACATGTCTCCCCACTAACCAGGCTTAAAAATGTGTCAAGCGAGCATGACGTTAGCTCTGGGTAGCTTAGGCCTGTCATATATCTGTGTCATTGGCTGAGATTGGCCGGGGCTCAGTGGCACACGCACACCGCTGTGACGCGCCGCCCCGGGGCCGGTCATCCTGACCCGGGTTAGCAGGCCGCGCCGGGCCGGGCTCAGGGAAGCAGGGCTGGCACCGACCCAGTTCAAAAATCAAAGCTTTCCTCATTGTACCACAGATCCGATCTGATTACTGTCCGTTTGAGATTAGATATCACAGCGGCATTACTACATAGCACCAACCGAATGCGTAATTGAGTTAAAGCGATAGGGCCGGCCTATTACGCAACTGTCAAAGCGGAAGGTGCGCCCACACTGACGGAGAGGGCTAGATCACTGGTCCCATAGTCGGTGGGCCGTGTCGAAATTGGACTTCGCGACGTCTCGTGGGAGTGTGACATCCAGTATCCTGTTCATGAGAGCACAGTGGCACCGTGCCGGAGGCTGGTTATAGGCTGGCTCTAGAGATGAAGTTGGTCCATATCTTTTTAATGTCTGCTTTATATGATCACTGCTACGATTTCAAGACATGTCAAACTCACTCTATTTTCCACTGCAGGTTATATGTCTTATTTCCTCTTTACAAGGTAGACTCTTTTTCCATGTATAGATAAATCTTAGTGCAGAAAAGTTGAGTATTCAATGGTCCCTCCCTATTAAAGCTGGACCGCATCTAGACTAATTATATTGGAGATTATTTTTTAAATGATATCAATTAAATGGTGGTTAAACTTGTGTGACGACCATATGAGTATAATCTAGTGTTCAGGCAGTTTAAAACCAATTAAAGATGACAATTAATAATGACTGTCCTGCCTGGAGACATCTACTGTACCTGCCCTTTCTTATCTAACATGCAGGCACACATTTGGGTGTGTGTGAGGAGAAAACACAAGGCAGTTGAGGAATGAAGGTGGTGCTTCAGGGCTATGATGTGACCATGATGTGTGTTAGTGGGGCGAGGCTTGATGCTGAGGCTCTCACCTGGGCATTGGCACTAGAAACCACTCAGTGGACACACACACACACACACACACACACACACACACACACACACACACACACACACACACACACACACACACACACACACACACACACAGGGAGATGCTTAACCATCCCAAAATCTGTATACTTGTCTTGCCCCAGATATGTGTGATGAAGCATTGGTGTGTTCCTGTCAGTGTGTAATGGTCATGCGAAAAGGAGAACGCTGTTTTAAGAAGTGCTAGTCTATAAGTCAGCTAAATGTAGTCCAAGTACTCTCTGAACTCTGAATCTTTGGCCTAATTGCCGGTCAGACATAAGCCACTGAAGTAGCACCAAATGCGAGGCTGACTTTTTGGACTTAACATGACATGAGCTTTACACCAGGGTTTTGCTGTGGTTTTCTTAACCCCTTCTTTCCAAGAGATACAAGTCGACACATAATCATCAGTCATCAGGGGCTAATGGTGTGGCCTCATTAATTGTGTGTTAAGTAATTTAATTTGTACTAGCTGGTGTTGTTCAGCCCCATAGAG